CAATTTACAATGATTAGTGAGTAGAATCTTTAATTTGCTAGGGTGATGGTAAAGCATGCATGAATGATGGATCATTGCTAATTGATGGATTTTGATTAGTTGATAGAATTGTGCATGTGTTTGGATTGATAGGAGTAGCTAACCTTGATTGCATTGTGATTCCTAATGACATGACCACTTGATTAGGGATTGCATTTATTTATTGAATTTGATATGTGATTCTTCTTGTTAGTCATCCATAAAGGAAACCTAGCTTGACTTCTAGGAGATAACCTTTTGAGTTCTTTCAATTGCGATTACTATTTTCCCTTGCAACGTTTGGTTGATCGATTCCGATCCCCTCAATTAGCATCTCTATCTTGATTGCATGTGGATCCTAATCAGTAATCCCTAGTGCTTTTGATATTGAATTTCTTTAGTTATTTAGTTGCTTGAGACCATAGCTTACACAATCAACACCTTCCTATACTTCGAAGTAGCTTGATCCTAGGCTCTAGTAACCTTTCTACCATTCCTCGTGGTTCGACCTTTGACTTACCCCTATACTTTGTTTAGGATTAGTCGAGTGTTTACAAATTTTGTTGATAAGGTTTTGAGCATAAAACGACATGTTTTAACCCTCTATCACCTATAAGGGAGATTTTACACACTACCATCACAAAAATTAAAACATAATACAGAGATACATACAAATTCAGATCTATTGCTCACATACCTTACTTTTACCAAACATCAACAAACAATTCCCTACCAATTTAACTCCAATTTACTTTCAAATTCAACTAATCATTAATCAATTTCCATTCCACCACAAAAGCATAGACATTTTCCCCAAAGATAACAATTAATCAATCAACCACGACACCAATAATGTACTCTTCATTTTCAACATAAAATATACATGCACACAATCCATAAGCACAAATAAAATTCGACGCTAGAATACCCTAACCACGAATTTAGAAATCCCCAAGCATATTCAACATTCAGCCCTTAGCACGAATCCGAAATTCAATCTAAACACGAATCCAAAATTCAACCATAAACCAACCATATAATTTTCGAAACCAAAAAACCCTAAGCACGAATCTATAATTCACCAGAAAACCCATATAAAATTCGAAACCAGAAAACCCTAACCCCATTGAACATTACAAAAATAGAAATTCATTCTCAACCTAAGTAAATTCAACAAAATTTACCAATTCATCACCACACAAGTCCGACTACACTTAGATAAATTTGAACACATAAAACCCTAGGCACATTAAACATAAAAAAAACACTAATTCTTTATCAACCTAAGTAAATTCAAGTGAACAAAATTCAAGTGAACATTTACGAATTCATCACCACACAAGTGTGAATATTCTTAGATTAAATCAATTTTGACAAAAATAAAATGAACAACTTCACCACATACCAGCAATACACAGTCGATCTTTCAAATATAGTAGTCCTAATCTCTTACAGCAACTCCAAATAGATGAAGCTAGAACAGAGAGAGAAGAGAAAAGGTTGCGAAGAGAGAGGAAGTTTTTATGAGAGAGAAAATTCAAATGAAATAAAATACTAATCCCTAAACTTCTAAACTACTCGAAAAAGGAGCTCGTTACAATTTCAAAATAAAACGGAGTCAACATAGTCAGCACTTTACAAAGCCTTACACAATTCCCATATTATCCTCCTATTTACAAGCTTTGCATATAGCAACTATGCACCTAGGATGAATATAGCATACTAGATCCACCAACACAAACACTTCCTCTGTTTTTTCTTACACCCCCCCCCCCTTTTTTACTCAGTAAGTTCCTTAATTTGACTAGGCACGTTGTCAATGCAGAACCTTGACCATATAAATTTGAATATCAATAAGTATACATTATAATAAGTCGGGGTTCGAAAATTATATATCAAGACGATTCCAACAAGTATTCACATGATTGAATTTTTTCTTATACTTCGTATAATATTGGTCAAAGTAGATTATGTGAACACAACAAAAAGTCAACATGGGACATCTAAATGAAAATGGGGGAGTATTATGTGTTAGGCTTGTTTAGTTCATTTTATTTTATGTTTTTTGCTTATCGAATCTAATATGAATTTAATTTTCTGATTTGATCTAATTTGTACTTAATTTTTCTAATATGATCTGATTGTTTAATTTGACTCAATTATGACCTTAAATGTATGCTAATCTATAAGGAAAAAAAAATATTAAGTGTGGCATTATTAGATTCGTAATAATGTGTTCATAGTTTTTATTTTTTATTTTTTTATCATTATGAACTTAAAGATATCAAAAGCCGCACATAAAATGATTAAGTATTTTAGAACCTTTTTTTTTTTTTTTTTATCTTAGATAAATTAAACATGACCTTAGTCACAAGTTGAAATTGTGTGTCATGATTAAGCAAATTGTATGTCATGTTCTAATAATACACCTATTACGTTACGTCATTATAAGATTACGTTACACCTATTATTAGTAACGTAGTGACATCACTCCTGACTTTTATAGTATAACAATCAAATTTTAGGGGCTCATTGAGGGATTTCAAGGGGCTCATTGAGGGATTTCAATTAATTTCCCCATTCTATACATTGTTTAATATATATTACATTAATGTTGATATAGGATAAAAACTCTTATTGATTATGATAAATATAGTTTGATTGAACAAATTTAAGGTAACCAAAAATCATCGTTGTTATAAAAATAAATTAAGCCATAAGGAACTAGCTAATGATGTAAACTATATATATTTAGTCTCGTTCTTGAATATCACTACTCACTTAGACATTCTCATTAAACCTTTTAACTAAACCTAAATCACTAAACATTATACTTCCTCCGTTCTTTTATTATTGCATCATAGAGGTTTGGCACACTTATTTTGGTGGTGGGAAAAATGAAGAGAAATAGGGGTAAAAGTACAAAAGTATCCATGTGATGTAAATATATACTAAAAAATAAAATGTTAAAACTAAAGGTATATTGGGTATTTATAGTGTGAACACAAATATTTTGTTTCCTAAAATGGATATGATAAAATATTTGTACAACTTGCTTAAAAGACAAGTAGTGTAATACTTAAATAAGGGAGGAAGTATTAGAAAAATATTCTTCAAAATAAATAATTTTGTCGGAATTATTTCAAACCAAAAGCACTTAATTGTCCTTTTTAACAATGATATGACATGTATAAAAAAATAATAAAATAACTAGCATGTCTAGCTCAATAGAGTGATATTAATGCTCTCACCATAAAGATACGGAGTACTACAAGTACCATTTTTACGAATTTACCCCCACTCAAACTCTCCACCTACCCAAAAAACTAGGGGTAAATCAGTAAATTCACATCCTCAAACGTCGGTACTACGAATCTCCAATAATTATTTTTAAAATTTTCAATTTCAGGTGCGAGTTATATTAAATGACAAAACAACTCCCACAATTTCACGCTCTTCCCACGCTTTGGCGGGTATCTTATTCTATTATATATAGCCAACAAACAGACAAACAATCTAAACGATTTTATTCATTTTTCTGTTTCCTCCTTTGATTTAATATAATTTAATCTAATTAATTGTTTTTATAAAAAGGAACATTAATTAATTGAGCCTGTGTGATTGACTGATTTATGTTTGTTGACGCATTTTTGTAAGTAATAGGAGAATCATATACTATACTGATATCATATGATTTTGATTAAATTAATCTATAGAATAGTTACACTAGCTTGGCTGCTTGGTGGCCAACTTTTGAGTCCTTTTCAGACATGAATAACATTAGTCAAACCAGAATTTTTATTTTATTTTTTCCCTTTTAATTTATTTTTTTTTAATAATTTTTTTCATTTTTTGATGGAAGAACTTATTATTAATTATGCAAGTAATGTCAAATCCTTTTTTATTATTTTGGAAATTTGGTAAAGGTATCCTATGTCTCTATACGTTTTAAATTTTAAATATTTGTTATCTAGGAAAAAATAATTTAAAATACTAATATATGAGTATTTTTTTATTTATTACACTGAAAATTAATATATTAATAGTTCTAAGAAGCACAATATGGGTACTAAACTTGATTGAATAAAAAATAAATATATCAAAGTATATAATAATATCATCTTAAATTGATTTACGAGTTTTATGACAAAAGATTGTTCCTGTTGTCGGCAGTTTAACTTGGTTGATTTGAGTGGCTGTTAACATTAATTGTTTAACCATTGGTTGTATATAAATATGTTTGGTAAAATCAGTAATTAATTGTTGGCTACAATGTTTACACTTTCAACTTAGTCGATCATGCAACCATGCACACAAGCACATCAATTTTACCTATAAAATCACTTTCTATTTTTTCTGGCAATAAAGGCATGCAATAGATAATAATTTCCAAAAATAATCTCATTAGATTTTATGTCCAATATAGGAAACAAATAAGAAAAAGGATATATAATTTCATATTTGCTTTCAAAATTTAATTTCATTAGATTTCTCTTTACTATACAACTTTTTTTTTCTCGTTCCAAAGGAGAGCAATGCAAATGGATTGAGAGATTTGAACATGGTACCTATCAATAATACACATACAAATCCTTATTCTTAAATCTTAAATATTACTTGTAGATGCCATTGGATTTTATTACATAATTATTCGAGCAAAAAGTTATAATACGATCTAATAAAAGCTCAATTGACTTCAACCCAATCTAATTTGATTTCATGAACTCAAACCAGATTTAATGAGTTTAGGAGAAGAAAACACCCCTTTAATTATAAAAAACCAAATTTGAACAACCCACACATATAGGTGTCAAAAACTGATCCAACTCGACCCATAAGTAACCTGATCTCGATTTTAACTTGTATAAGCAAAATGATTAAACATAACTCAATTCTGAACTAGACCCAACTCAACCAGACCCGACTCAACCAATCCTGTTACAATTACCCGAATTGACATTTCTATGACTATACGACGTCTACGCTTTTACCAAAGCTGAGCCATAAAGCTAGTGTCATAAAGGGAAAAGGCAAAAAAAGAAAAGGAATTAAAAAAGGGGGGACCAAAGAGCTTACACACTACGAGCACTCACTCCAATTTTAGTCCGTACTACTACTACTCAACTACTGAATACTGATCTCCTTCAGAAACTGAGAGAAAGAGAAAACACAAACAACTGCTGCAATTTCTCAGAAAACCCGAAAAAAAAAAAAAAAAAAAACCAATAAAAAAAAACCCAAAAAAAAAAAAAAAGAAAAAGAGACAGCATTTCCATTTCCCGCATCTCCTCTTTCTCTCTCCTCTTTTTTTGTGAATGATCACTCTGACAGTAGCCAAACCCCCATTATTTCTCTTAATTCCTCTCTAATTTTATACTATTCTTCTTCAATTTTTGGGGAAAAAAATTGTAGATTATCACGTTTTTTTATTTTCTTCTTTTTGTGTAGAATTATTTGTAAAAACCCAAAAAAAAAATAGACCCAGAATTCTCGATTTTTCAGTAGAAAAAAAGAGGGGAAAAAATGGAGTTGTATGGAAGAAATCAGGGTTCCGAGGTGGATCCGCCAGCTGAATGGGGGGAAACTGGACTCGAAGGTAATACAATGAAACCCCTCATTTTTAATTTTGATTTTGTTTTGGTTTTTTTTTTTTTTGAAATTTTGGATGATTTTATTTCTAGGGTTTTGTAATGTTATTGGTTAATTGAATGATTTGTGGTATTTTGTTGATGGAAATGTAGAGTCTATGTGGAGATTGGGTCTTTCGGGTCGAGAGACGTACCCGGAACGGCCTGGTGTATCTGATTGTGTCTATTACATGCGTACTGGGTTCTGTGGATTCGGTACCCGTTGTCGTTACAATCATCCTCGTGATCGTGCCGCGGTGAGCCCCCTTTGTGTTTTTAATTGTATATTTTGTTGGATTTTGTGTTCAATTTGAGCTGCATTATATGTTATGATTTGGGAAATGGGGTTTAATGAGTAATGTGGTGTTGAAGTATGGGCTGGTTTTGTTGTGATCTTATGAAATTCGAGCTTTTTCAAACGTTTGAATGTATTTGTTGTGGGGTTTTAGAGAGAATGCAGTTCACCACATGATCGGATCAAAAGGGATTGTTAGTGAGATTTTTTCGCTTTAGAGTACCGTAGATTATATTAAATGCGGAAGGATTTTTTGTTTGTGTTGAGAAAGACAATGTCTTTTCGGGGATCAAGGGGTACATAGTAATTTAGATGGTGAAAACTTAAAATGATACGAGGGTAGAAATGGGGTTATTTGAATGTTACGTGGGGATACAGAATAGATAGAAGTAATGATCTTCTCAAGACTTGAACTTGTGACCTTGAAGTTTCAAATGCATCACTAATCATGAGGCCACTTGCAATCAATGTAACCACAATGAAGTCTTTAATTATAATAATAATTTTAAGTGGGTTTATGTGTACACACCCTTTTATATGTGGATTCACCACTGCTAAGAAAGATGTCATTTCATTTGCGGTTTTGTGCACATTTGACCTCCCTTTACCTTGCTATAGATGGAGGCATAATGAAGGTGTGGGAACAATGCACAGCTTGCTTATTGATCTGTTTTCTGAGTTTATTATATGATCAGAAAACTTTGATGTGAAATTAACTTGTGTAAGAGACACAAGTACGTTTAATTCTTTCTTCTAGTGATTTGGGTTCAATATTGTCCAGGCTGTTGCGGCTGCAAGATTAGTTGGAGGAGAGTACCCTGAACGTCCTGGTGAACCTATATGCCAGGTGAGATGTTAGTGTGTTACTTTATATTCAATGTTTTCAGTTACCGAATTTCTTAGTGCTTTATGCAAATAATATATTAGTATTTTTTCCCCTCGTGCAGTATTATCTAAAGACTGGAACTTGTAAATTTGGTACTACTTGCAAGTTTAATCATCCACGAAATGCTGGTGGATCATTGACTAATGCGCCACTAAATATCCATGGTTACCCACTAAGACCGGTTTGTACTTATCCATTCTACTTGCATTTAAAGTGTATTCATGTGTTTATTTCTTCAAGTCTTCTTTTACAATGTTGGAAGTAGCACTTATGATGTGTTTCTTTTCTCGATAGGGTGAGAAAGAATGCTCCTATTATTTGAAAACGGGGCAGTGCAAATTTGGGATAACTTGTAAATTCCATCATCCTCAACCAGCTGGCATGTCAATGCCTGCAGCTGCACCTCCATTTTATCCGACGGTGCAGTCTCCTTCAGTTCCTATACTTGAACCAGCAGCTGGGTCATCCCCCAACTATAGGGTAGCTAGGCCTCCTCTTGTACCTGGTTCTTATGTTCCAGGGTCTTATGGTCCTGTGCTTCTTTCTCCTGGAGTTGTTCCCATGCCAGGCTGGGGTTCTTATTCGGTAAGTCTTTAATACTGTCTAGTAGCATGAGTTACTGGGCAGGAGTTAATAAACTCTTGGCCTCTTGGGTGATCCATTGGCTTAATTGCTGCAGGGGCCTGTAAGTCCCGTTTTATCGCCTGGTGGTCAACCTGCTGCTGGAGGAGGTTCTGTATATGGAGTGACCACACTATCACCTTCTACACCTGGTCTAGCTGGATCTTATGCTCCTCTTCCATCTTCTGCTGGGAAGTCAGTCACAGAACATAAGTTTCCAGAGAGACCAGGTGAACCTGAGTGTCAATACTATTTGAAGACCGGGAGTTGTAAATTTGGTGCCTCTTGTAGATATCATCATCCACCAGACCGGGGTGCGTCTGCTGCAGCCTGTTTTCTTGGGCCTCTGGGTCTGCCCCTACGTCCAGTAAGCTTGATCTTGAGCTGCTTTTATATCTGTTAATTATTTCTGTTTTAGGGACTATCTAGTCCTTTTTAATTTTTATTTTTTTTAATTATTTTTATGTACATTGTTGATTTTGATGCTTAACACCTGATAAATTTAAGGACAAAATATTCATATTGATCTATGACAATAATGTTTAGTTCACAATCAACTATTTGCTATTGCCGCATGATATGATGGTTAAAATATCAAAATACTGAGCATCTTAAATTAAGGATATAGACTTTCTGGTTGCTATATTAAACCTTTTTCCAAGTTTGAGAATGTTAGAATTATTGCTCAGCAATTACTATGCAGCCTATATTGCTTTTGTTTTTTTTTTTTTTCTCCTTCTCTTTTCCTTTTAAAAAATTCAATAAAAATTGTTGTGTACCCAACATATGACTTACTAGAATGTGTCTGGACTTGGATCATTTCATTTTAATTTTAATGAACTCAGTTTTAGCTGGATGTCAAACCCTCTCCTTTTGTTCATTTGATGGTCCATTTATAATTTACGTCCTCCTTAAGTTTATTGTGATCTTGCCATTTTTACAACTGCTTGGCATTAGAAGACGTGTCTTCCACATAATATTCTATTATAAGGGCTTGACAACTGAAGGGCTTGACAACACAATTTTATTTTTTTCCCCATATGAAGTACATTGGTATTGTCAATGAATTTATATCAGTCCTGCATGCAAAAGAAGCTTTACCGGTGTCTCTATTTTTGACGGGACATTCTTTCCTCTACGACAACCACAAACCATAGATAACTATTATCCTTATAGAATTTCTGCTCTTTACTCCAGTCCTGAAACCAATGTATTTTTTTATGTGCCTGAAAACATGTGGGCTAGCCTACCTCACTCGTTCCAAAATTCTCAAATTAGTCTCGTTGTCAAAAACCTCTACTCTAGCATGACACATGCATCAGGTGATATCTCTAATTTATCTATGTCATAAGTGGTCACTTGATGTTTCTTTGATCTTGTAAATCCTTGGCGATTGCAGTAATTATCAACAAGATTCAAGCAACATTATATCCGAACTGTGGCTCTGATGTAGATATCATGCATTTTTAGAGGATTTCTGGACCTTTATCACTGACTTTTGAGGAAATTGTTGAACTTGGATCAAATAATAATAAAATTTTTGCAGAACTAATGTATCATCTGTTCATTTGAAAAATATGTTCAATGGGGGAGTTCCTCTATGAAGTAATATTCCTTGTGAAGTTAACTCCCCAGAATGTGTATCAAAGACGTGTTGGCAATATAGGAAATGCATGATCTAAGATTTTTTATTTTTTATTTTCATTTATACCCTCACAAGAATTTATTTGATATAAGAGTGAATGGATCACCTACTTACCGACGTGAAAGGAGTTCAGATACGGTACTTCATTGAAGTAAAAGTAGCGAAGGAAATTGTCACTCCAATTTTCTTTCATCCTATTGATCAACCTATGTTAAAAAAGTCTCACTTCCAATGTACATTCACTTCCCACATGATTCTTGTTAACGGAAAAAACATGTAAATTTTCTTTCTGAGATGTCTCTGTTATTTGTACAAGTTTTGCTGAACGTTGCCATTATGCCATATAGTTATGTGATTACCCTGTTTGGTATGCATGCTGGGCATTTAAATGATGAGTTACTCCAAAACTTCTATGTTCATTTGTTTTAAGCACCCATGCCAGCCATGTTGCTAGAACTTCATGGATTTCTAGTCAGCGACATGCCAACCCCTAGGCAATTGGTCAGCTAAATGTATCATCTTCCCTTTCCCCAGTCCACATCCAAGTTCCAACCATACACTCGGAGACCTAAAAATGAGAAGGGTAAAAAAAATATTTCTGAAGCTCTATTATTGAAGATAATGCAATTTTTCAAAATGAAGCTGCAAACTTGCACTCTATATGGCTTACTATTTCTGTTGGGACATGTACCATTTATTATATGTTTTTGATTCAATTTGTTTTTCTTTAATATAATACACTTAAAGGATGACTTGTTATCTTTTATTTGAACAGGGTACACAACCTTGCACCTTCTATATGCAAAATGGATACTGCAAATTTGGGCCCACGTGTAAGTTTGATCACCCAGTGGGTATGATGAAATATAGTCCATCAGCTTCATCTCTTGCTGAGACACCAGTTGCACCCTATTTGAGTGGACCTCCATTAGTTACTTTGCCTCTTTCACCGTCATCCACAGAGCTCATTCCAGAACATGCTTTAGGGTCACAGAGGGATTTACAATCAAATAGAACAATGTCATCCGGTAGCTCTTCTGTTGGTTTAACTTCGTCTAACGTCCAACGATCTGGCCAAGGTCCTGCACTGTTAAGCAGTAGCAGAAGCATGGGAGAAGATGATGAAGTTCGTCACTCAAGTTAAAGTACATTCTTGATGCCATTCTCTTTTATTGCTGAGACCTTAAAGCAGCACATACCAAGCCACCCATCCACCACTGTCTCAGTTGTTATATAATATATCAAGTCATCTATCCTAAGTGACTTCTATTGTTGTCAAGTTCAGGTAATGACAGCCCTGTCGAATACCTCCCACTTTAGGACTGAAATATAATCCTTACTGTTGATAATAGCTTTCATATATGCTCAGAACTTCAGAATGCATAATAAATTAATGTAGCAATTAGCTCTGTGGACTCATGTCATCGCTATTTGGTAATAATTCAACGGAAGCGTGCTCTATAGCCCTAGTTGCTATGCTTCCCCGTGAGACACTACTCCTTTTGCCAGACATTGTTAGACATTCTGTAAATTTGATTACTCTTGTGAAGTTATTTTTCCATGCTAGTTGTATTTGAGCTCTAATTTTTTCCAGGGATTTTGTGTATTATTTTGTATAAAACGTCCTGCGTGGATACCCCATGGTAATGCATAATTATTGGAATAGAAAATAATGAAGAAAATCATGTTCGCGAATGAAGATGCATTACTTTGGACACTATACAGGATATAACCGTATCAAATTACATTTGTACATTGCCATTTGCTTATTCCACAGCTCTGTAGCTCTTTTTCTTTTGAACTTTTTTATTTTTATTTTCATTTTTTATTTTTATACTCCCTTATTAATTATTGGGAAAGTTAAATGGAAACTTTGGTTAGAACAAGAAAATTGACGAGAAATTGGAGTATTGAGGAATAAAACAGGTTTCAATATCATGTCTGAATTGAACACAGGTGAAGGAGCAGTAAGCCAGTAACCAACGAAAAAATTGAACAGTTCGGTATGGGCAATTTGGTAAATATTAAAATTCTCACTTTTATACGAAGTGCTGCATATGTGCTGAGATATATTAGGATATTATATGATATTATATGATTTGCATTGATTTGTATAGTTGGCATAATATTGCTATAATCTATATTTGTTTTTTGGTGGAAGATATTGCTATAATCTATCTTATGCCAACTATGGTTACTCCGTAGTTAGTTATACATCTATAATAAAGTAAGAAAAAGTTGAGGAAACCATGCGAAAGAGAATTTAAAGTGTGTTTAAAGTGTGTTTCCCAAATATTTCAAAACCCTGATATCAAGTCCGGAATTCATTAACTTCTACCTCCGTACACTAAACTTATCGTCCGATGATGAAAAACCTTATACTCTCCAATCGTACGATCATCTCTCTACTCTTTGGATTCAACCTCCTTATCATCTTCCTCATCCGTTCAACGACTCGAACTCCGTTATCCTCCAAAACAAGGTGAACTTAGTATTCGATACAAATTAATAGGATCTTGCAATGGCTTGCATTGTATTCAATGGGATGACGGATTTTACTTAGATTACGTGGTATACAATCCATCTATTGGAGTTTACAAGAAAATAGGTTTTGACTTTGTGGATATTGATCTTTCGATCACTGGACTTTTTTTTAGTACATTCTGGATTTGGTTTCGACGATGTTAGTAACGATTACAAAAGATTGTTATGCTAGTATCAACATGTTATAATGGTCCAGCCCGATGTCGTGTCAAATATTTGTTTACAGCTTGATGGCCAATTCCTGGAGAGCTTTGGACATCAGCTTTAACTATAAATGTTTAAAGAATTTCCCGGCTGCAGTGATTGATAAACATCTATTACATTTCCTATTCTATGGGAGGCGTAATTGGTTGCTTCGACATTCGGACTGAACAATGGAGCAAATTCGAGTTGCCTACTTTCATTAGAGATGATAAATTGTGGGAGCTAGGTGTTTTCGATGGTTGCTTGTATTTAATGGTACATGATTCGGTTATGGTAGAATTTCTCGATTTTGATACAAACTATGAAGTTTGGGTGATGAAAGAGTACAAGGTGAAAGAATCATGGAGGAAAATTACAAGCATTTGGAATCAAGAATTGTACCAATGTAAAGGAAATTATGTAGTGATAATATTTCACCTCTTAAATACTCTGACAAATTTAGAGATGACGAGATTTTGTTTTGGAACGAGTACAATTCTACGTTTATATTTTACAATATCGAAATCAATGGTGTGGTTTCTACTGAATCCAGCGCTTATTTTTGTCATGAAACCCTTAGGAAGATTGGGGGTATGTCTATGATAAGAAGATCAAGCAGCTTCCGATTTAATTGGGTCATTATATTTTTAGTATCTTTCATTAGTAATTAGTTTGATTATTACTCGTATTGGTTTTCTCAAGAATCTTCATTATTATTTTCTTTATTTTATAATTATTGATATTATCATGTTTGTTTAATTGATTTTACGCTACAGTGTCCGGCAATTTTTTTTTAAAATCTTAAAAAAAAAAAAAAAGGTTAATTACTAGGTTTTCTACTAGTTCTCTTGATTTATGAATATTGATTTTATTTTTAAAGGAGGCTTATTGTATACTGGTGTTGAATTATAGCATTGACTTTTTTTTTTCCGCTCTTCTTTTAGTCGGTTGTGTTAATTGTAATTACTTGGTTGCTTTTAATGCCAGATTAATCGAAGGTAGAGTGGAAGAGCTGCTTACAAATCTTTGCAAAAATAAAAAAAAAATAAAAAAATCATCTCTTGTTATTTATTTTATTTTGCATTTGAATTGTATTATAATTCTACTAATATTGTATCCTTAGGTAGTTTATTGAATTTTAAAATAATTTTTTTGTCCCAATACCAACTCTCTAACTTTTTTTTGACGAGAACTCTTTAACTTACTTCATTGATACAAATCATATTTCTTAAGAAACATAACAATCAACCCGACCCGTTTAACTAATCATGTTGTGTCGACCCGTTTAATTAAAGAGGTCGAAAACCTTTAACATTAATTCGTTTTTTTCATGTATGGTTCGTATCGTGTTATCGTGTCGTGTCAGCTTTTGCCATCTCTAACAACATCCATTTCTGACAAATTTCTTTGTTGTAAATACCATGGAACAAAGACCAAAACACTCCTAAATTCTTCCAAGTTCCACACCATAACGACTCCTCCCATAGATCAACCATAACACAATTTACAACTCTATGTCAGATTCTTTATCAAATATATGAACTTTTGGGTATGTAAATTATCATCAAACAACCCGGGTATTTAATAAACAAAACTTACTAATTGAAAATTTTATAATTACTAGGGCGGCTAATGTGCATGTCATAGCTAGCTATGTATGAGCAACTTTTTCGGTTTGGTCTCATGTCATAAATTTAGTCGTTGGCAGTATTTATGTGGATAAACATGTAAACAAATTTTCAGGGGTATAAATGTCGGCACAGTATTATTAAAAGTTTAAAAATAGAGACAAGTGATATCGATGAGGGTAATAAGTACTTATTCATTTTAATGGGTATGAAAAGATAGGGATAACCCATCTAACAGAAATTCAAGACCATGGGGTGCTTTAAAATTGAAGAAAGAACAATAAAATCAGTCTAGGTACGAAGTATATAACATAGATATTAGTAGTCGTGATTTGCGAACGTCGGGCAAAAATAATTATGCAAATAGCTCTCAAAATCTTGTGTAACGAGTCTAATATTATGATTCTATCACACCAAACTCATAGTAGGTACATTAATCACCCAATACTTTACAACCCACAAACTCATGCATGCTTCATAAAAAGAAATATTGGACCACATTAGTTTACGTAAGCGCAGCTAAGTAATTATACGAAGTATAAGTAGCTTAGTTCATATAATTAAGAAAGAGATTATAAGATTATAGTATGGTTGTTGCTAATCTATACTTAATTGTACTCAATCAAGTATAAATCTATACTCACATTCCTAATATCATTTCACTGACAAAGTAAGATACACAATAATACTATCAATATGCACCTAAAAATGGTCCCCTCCAATGGCACAAGGTTATCCATTAATATTAGCTGCCTTAATCAACACTAATTACTTAATTAACAAACCTTTAATTTTCTTACCAAAGAAATTTATACATACCGACCATATAACAAAAAAGTGATGTTGATGAAAACATCATTACATACACTTGTTAAGTCATGATTTCAACCATGTAACACAATAAAAAATGAAATGGTAGTACCCTATATAATTGGTACCATGGTCCTTTGGTCCCCAAACTTGTTCATTGAAACATAAACAACAATTATGAAAGTGATTTCATTTTGTAAGAAAAAAAACAAGAGGCTGTCACAAAAGAAATTTTGACAAGATTTTTACTTGTCTCATACATTCACTGACTTGTTACTATTACTAGAATGTAATAAATCATGAGCAAAATGATTTGGAGACAAACGGGAGTGATCGATGGATTATTTATTTAATTAATTGGATTGGATCGGATTGAATTGAATTAGATTACGTGGTGTGTAATATGACAAAAAGATGGTAAAATGTTGATTGGAATTTTAATTACCCTAAAATATCAACATACAATGCCTCTACTGTCTTAAGGTTATTATCACTAAGTCTTAGCTTGTGTAAGGCGGGTGCACGTTAATTTTATTGTAAAACGGTCGGTTTGAGGATAACTTTAACTATTTTTATTGTAACTTTAACCACTTAAATGGTAACTTTTAATTTGTTGTTGGTTTGAATTTTATTTTAATGTGTAATTTCTTATTGATTCATGAATACATAGTATAAAGGCTAATATGATTAATGTAATACATACATTACAAATTTTTTGTAAGATAAAAACTTTTGTAATATAAAGGGTAACTTTTAATGCTTTTATGATAATTTTAACCTGTTTTACAATAAATTAATGTACACCCGCCTTTTTGAAAAATTTGTGATAATTTGAACTATTGAATTGATGATAAATGCCGATAATAGTAAGAGTTTCATTCTATATTTCTAAGGTCTTGTAATTCAAAATATTTTATTAATATTCATAAAAATCAATGATAATTAGTATTAGTAAATTTTTTATTTGTAAATTACTTTAGTTTTTAGTTACTCAATTAATTACAGTTTTAATTAGCAAAGTATTATATATTTGTTTAAGGGAAATATACTCCTTATATGATCTTATGTGAATTTATAATAACTTATTGTAGTTCGTTGTAATTAAAGTTGGATATCCCTTATTATTCATGGTAATAAGGCTCTGTTCTGTTCACCTTATTTTTACTTATTTTAGGTGTAATAAGTTCAGATAAGGAAAAATAATTCTAATAAGGATTACTCAAGTACAAATCATAACTAAAATAAGTTTTAATAAGGTTAATAGGTTCAGATAAGGTTAGGTAAGTTCAAGTAAGTTTAGATAAGTTCACATAAGTTCAGATAAATAAAAATCAGGTGAATAAAATACATTCTAAGTAGCCTAATTCCCTAATCTAAATTCATTTGAATTTATCTTTTCTTAAATAATTGGAAATAAGTTGAACATAACATGGCCTAAACTAGGTTAATGTTGCGATAAACTAGGTTAATGTTGCAATAAACTAGGTTAGTTTTTAAGAGTAAACATTACATCTATAGATAATCATATACTTTATGGTATTTATGTTATGTAGAATGCTATAAAGGTAAACATTCTACATAATATTCATGTTAAGTTGATATGTTTTTTATGTTATTATCTCTAATCATAATTTATTATCAGAATTTTAATTTCATAAACTTATATTATATGAACTTAACTGAATTTACGATATTCAATATTCATAATCCACTTACGGTGTCAAAAAATCCAACCAACTAGATTTAACCACATCCAAATGTGACCAAGTCTAGAATCCAACATGCATGCAATGATTTAGCATGACCCAAATTCAAACTACGCCTACCCAACTCGACGACTAAACCCGAATCCATCCTAGAGACCCAACCCAATTCCCACTTGAAAAATAAAACAGGTTGAGTACAAACCACTCACAGCAACAATAATATAGCATCAAGGAGAACACATGATAGCAAAAATTGTAGTGAATAAAATCCAAAATACCCGATAAGAGGCGCACGTGACCCATAGCTAACAAAGGTGGAATATGTTAATCCAAGACTAATTTAAGCATTGATTAGTACAGTCAATCTAGCTAATTAATTATTGTTTATAGCCTTAAAATCAGCTTTTAGTAGCTTACTTTATAACATCTGGTACAGTAATTAGGCACTAATTGGTCCCCCCTGGTTGGGGGGTTAGGAGAGGAGGCTTTATATTATACTGTGTTTATTTTATGTACAACTTCAAGCATGCCAATTCCAAATAAATATAAAATGATGATGAATTTGTCTCTCTGTCTTGATCTACAAATTATATATGAAAACTCCTTTGTCGACCTGACGAAATTTGTAATTTTTGTAAATTTTTTTGAAATAATTTGGGGGTGTTTATGTGTTTGGCTAAAAGTTTTTTAAGAACAAAATTAGGTTTTTTTTTTTTTTTTTTTGAGCAAAAAGAGTTGTTTGACCATTTATAAAAACTCTTTAAATTGTTTGGTAAAGGGTTGTTTCAAGGTCCAAAAAAAACTTTTTTTTAAACATCCAAACAAGGCCTTTGAAGTTTTTAAGGTTGTAATTGTGTTTTCATAATTTTATGTGAAGATAATTAATTCATATATATTTTTTTTCAATCAGAGTATTTCATCATTTTTTATTTGTTTAAAATGGTAAACAAAGAAATCGGTCAGATTTATTGTATTTTTGGATGAAGTTATAAACTTGACTATATGTTTCTTATCTATAAATCAAGGAAAGCTAGTCAAAGTAGAGTTCATGAATAGTGTTAAAAGTCAAGTTAAAATGTGTCATCTAATTTAGAACGAAGTAAGTTAAAATTTTAGAGAAAAGTGGATATAATTAAACTATTGCATGTAAAGCTATAAAACAGGCCGAGCGTTTTGTGTGCGGCTGGCCACACCACGTGCCCACTTGTAAAAGAAGAAATTAAATCCTATAATAATATTACGCAGTAGCCCCTGTAGCACTAACCGAGTAACCTCCTATAGCACTGACCGAGTTACCTTTATAACACTCACGAAGTAACTCCATGATGACTAGACACACGGTATGGACAACCATATATAAGAAGTTGTGTACTTTGTATATGTTTTGACTATCATATTACCATATCTTACCAACTAAGCTAATTAAGCTAGGTTGCCTTCACTTTAATAATTGCATCACTATAATCGGTAAAATTTGATGATTGTAGATCGCCAAGATTAGTGTTTTTTTCATACAAAATACGAAGTACACAAAGTCACAAAATGAATAAAGCACTGATTTGTTTCTTAATTTTTTTTTAATAGGATTTGTGTCGTAATTAATAAGATATAAACACAGAATTTGATGAGTAACGATATTGAGTGGCAGTATATATGCTACAATAATCGATCAGTAGATTATGCTAATACAGTACGTTCACAAAAAGGTTATATGATGTCCCATGTTACAAAATACATCATGGTTTTCAGTGATTAGCCAGCCATTACATTTTACATGCGATCAATCACAATCACTCATAGTGTTAAATTTTGAGATAATATAAAATGGGCCTGGGTAACCCAAAATAAGGAGGAGGGGAGTTTGGTCCACAAATAAGGCTTAGAAGCTTCCATACTAAAACCAATTGACAATAGTAGGAGAAACTCCTCGACCTTATAAAGTGAAATCATCTCTCCTTTTTCTCCAACGTGTGGCAATCACAAATGAGATACAACGGATTTCATCAACAAATAGGGTATGGATTTTTAAAGCCTTTACTACGCAGTACGCTATACAATTGTTTTCTTCTTTAACAAAAGGTACACCCTAATATCATTTCCTTGGAGAACTGGTACGGGCGTCTACCTCCAAAAAAGTACACACCTTACACCATTCACCATTCACTGCCGGGAATGTTGTGGCTAGAAGAACTCAAAGAGGATAAACTAGCTAATTCATATTCCATAAAGTAGCTAATTCTTTTACTCATTCTTGTGCAATTAAATCCTACCTTATGGACAGGGTGAAAAAAATACTCCCCGGCTATAAGGGTTTTTGTATGCCTGCGTTATTTATAGATTAATTAATGTCTTTATCCTTCACGTAAATCTTTTTTTGAAATTATACTAATTAATGTCTTTATCCTTAACGTACAACATTTTCTATAATTTATGTTGTAGTGCAACTCGAACCTTGAGCGTAGATAGGTTGAAAAACATTGATGAGAATTACTTTTAATTTTATACAAATATGCATCATTTTAAAAGTAGCTTCAAAAATAAAAAGAATTTATAACAAAAATACAAAAACAACAATAGAAAACAACATTACAAGTTGCATAATAAACAATGCAAAGCATGAAGTAGTATAAGGTATACCTATAAAACATAGGCCATTCATTTAGAATAGTTAAGTATGGTGTTGATGATTAAACATATATACCCAATAATCTCCATGCTTAAGGACCTAAAGTTAGTATCTTTACACATAATTTCTTCCTTATTTTAAACAAATAAAACTTTAATTTGTTAGGTTGCTTTCACAAAGCCATGATTACCATCCCCCCAAAAGCAATGCATCTCATCACCAATCCGGCTGGTGTCTCCAATTTTCAGTTTCACTTATTTTTAATCTAAAAAAATTTAAATTAAATTTAAATTAATTAAAAAAAAAACAAAATAAATTATTTAAATTATTATTTTAAAAAAAGTTTTTGTTACTTAACTTTCACCGAAAAGTGTCAACATAACTTCATTTCCTTGACTTTAACTTAATCAAATAATTATAAACACCTACTTTCCCCTTAAACACACACACACATAATACTTACACATTACAACACTAATAAAAGTATGACTTTGTTAACCCATCTTCTTCTTTTTTATCCTACAATATGAGTTTCATGTAACTTTTACCACACTCACTCACTCAACACACACATACAGAGATTAAGAGAGAAATCCAGGCTTGTCGCGGTGTGCAAGTAACCAGTGGCGAATCTAGCTTATGATGGACTGCTAGCTGAAAATTGATACAACTAGTCTACTACTACGACCGGTTTACGAGTTGGAAAATTTGAAGGATTTATATATAAGGTAGCGAGAGAATTCGAGATGGGGGTGGTGACAATGGGTGATTTGAAGCCTAATATAGCTGGGAAGAGAGCTTTTAGACCGAGTTCGAGCACAAGGCATGTAACTGAATGGTATGTATTCCTCTCTTTCTGTTTTTGTTACAAAAATAAAGTAATACTCAAAGGTTTTATTTGCAGTATACTCTTTACACCAAAGATTTTTCGTACAATTGTTAGCACCACGTCACTATACAACTCTCTCATAACTCAGAAACAAAAAACCGAAATTTAAGGGAATTTTGCATAATTTGTCACCTTTAATTTCTTATTTATTCTTAGAAGTTCTGTTAAGATTTAACTCAGCTAATCAAGCATTTACTCATACCTGAGAAAATTAACATTTATTGTTGTGATTTTTTTTTACTTAAAATGTGCGCATAAACTAAGAAATTAATTATTAGTTTATTACAATTATATAATTCCAAATTACGAATAATTTTTTACTTTCTATCATTTGCATCGCCGTACAATTGCTTCGCTGCTGAAATAGGCCCTAAACAATTCAAGCGAAGCAAATTAACATTTTTGTACAAATGAACTATTTTTTTTTTTTTTTTTTTTTTTTTTTTGGTATTAACCGAAAAATACTGTAGTATATTGATTTTTTACCGCCAAATAAGAAACAAAAGTAACAATTATAAATACCTAATATTTGAATTAAATAAGTGGGAAAAAAGTGAAAATTTTGATTTATCGATTTGAATTCATGTCATTTTCCAGATAAATTAAATAAATAACGAGTACTAGAGTAGTATGAATTTCATGACATTTTGGAGTTGGGGACTATTTAGGAATGGTAGTTTTGGGAAAAGGTCAAAAAGAGGTGACTATTTTTTCTCACTAGATTTCCCATAATTTATGCCAAAATAAATCAACGACAAATTTATGCAACCACAGCCAAACATTAATAAAAGGTTCTTTTCAATAAAGTGTAATAAAAATTAAATAAAGAATTTCACTTTGTCTAAAATGTACTTGAAATATCGATGTTTAAAATGTTAATTTTCAAAGATGTTTGTATCAAGGTTAAAGTATCACCTTAACTAAAAGTTTAAGTTGAAGGTTAAGCCTATAATTGGTTTTAACTGTCAATCATTCCTCGTTTAATGAAATACTTCAATTGTCATTTAACTGTCTTGCCAGTTCATATTGTACTAATATAGTTATAACATTTATATATAGTTCGTTGGAATAATGCATGCTAAAGTTGTTTTCAATGTTGTAATATTCAATTCTGTTTTCGTATAGAACAGGTTAGTAAACAGAAATGTTTTCCAAGTCAAATGATGACCAACAATAATGCAAGTATGGATATCAATGTGACTGTCAAATGTTTAGTGTATTAACCAAGTTACAAGACAAAATTTGGTGTGTTCCTCACCTCATATGAAATTGGATTCTCTCATCAATTGTTAATTTTAACAATAATCTCTTCTACCTAAAACGGACCAAGGGTTGTTAGCCAAGTGTTTAGTGTATAGGGTCGATTCCGAAGTTGGAGATGTAGACAGTGTATTTCTTCATATTCATGTATGTTAACTGGCTTAGTTGGTAAGGTTCTATAAAACTGTAAAAATTAAAATCAAGACTTAGAATTCGCTTACATAGTTATTGGGTCTTATGTCTCTTGTAAGCCCAAAGATACTTATATAACATGTGTACGCAGCTATGCATACACAAATTATTGAGGCTAGGTCGTAGTCGTGAGACTCGTGACTGTTGAGAGAAGACGGTCCTACTCATTTCGTTCATCTTAATTTCCTGATAGAAAAAGAAAAGAAATACGTAACACCATAATTAAGTCAAAAATAAAATATTTTTGTTTCGCCCTTTTTGGTTGAGAAGAATTGAAAGAAAAGGATAACTCCCTCCGTTTCCACTTATTCCTTTTCACTTCATTTCAATAAACCAAATATTGGAATTTAAAGCTTCTTTTGATTTCCCTTTCCCTCCCTTTTTTTTTTTTCCTTTCTTGCCTTTGCTAATTATGAAGTATGAATCAATGTATCTTTCAAAAAAAAAAAAAAAAAAAGTATGAATCAATGTGTATGTAAATTCTCCTAGGAAATGTATATTCATAATATATATGGAGAAATAACCTGTCTCTTTCTGGTTCCACTCTCGGGTTATCTCTGAATGTATGTGTTTAAAGTTAAGGATCGAAAATAAAGATTACGATCCTAAGAATAATTTTGTGCAACCAAGATAGAAACTAAACTTTAGAGCTTGCTGAAAATGACTGCATCACGCGAATGGGCCTGATCTGTCTATCCAACAACCTGCATTGAGCAATCAAAAATCCTGAAGAAATTCCATTATTAGATGATTGTTCAATAATATTTTTGTCCACATTAGTCATCTACCTCATTTTCGAGGGGCTACCAACTCAGTACGGATAAAACGTAAGCAATCTGATTGAGAACTTTGTTATCTTGTAGATTTGTATGGACTACAAACATATCAAATAACCAACTTCAGCCTCATGTTTTTCAGCACTTGTGTTCTAAGACCCCACGAAAATTCTCTGCTCGAAAAGAAAGTTTATCTTCTGTGGACCTCTTATGTCACAGTCATATGACAATCAGTGAATGGGAACTTTCAGTTACATCAGATGCTAACTTTCTGAAGGAAATCATAGTGGCAGTCCTTGGGTCTTATAATTCTAAAATTATTATATGGTCTGATGTATGCTGTGACAGAAAAAAATAGTAAACGAAAGCATAGCAGTTGGTAAATACTGATTGTCAGAGAGGAATCATGTATGGGTGCAGTTAATGTTTTAGATTTAGTCCCGCCTTCTTGTTTTTGTCCATCTGAAATCAACTTTCTGTTGTTTTATATCTTTCAGGCCAATATCTGATGTTTCGAGTGATCTCTCCATTGAAGTAGGCGCTGCCTGCTTTGCACTTCACAAAGTAAGTACTCTGCCTGATAAGGCTTCAGAATTTCTGCACAAATGCTTTGTTCTTACTTTGACAGCAAAATCTTCTTTGAGCTTCTTTCTGATTTTATTTCATCATAGACTGATTTATGTTGTTGTTCTAGTTTAATGTGAAACTGCTTAATTTGATATGTATGGAATGTTTAATTAGAGACCTTTTTGCACCCCCTTTATTTCTTAATGAACATTAGCACAAGATTCAGATAGCATAGTAGTTTTGGTAACTAACAGTGCATGTATTATGCTGCAGTTTCCTCTTGTTTCTCGCAGTGGAAGAATCAGGAAACTGTTGCTGGAGGCAAAGGATTCAAAGATCTCGAAGATTAGTCTCCCATCAGTTCCAGGCGGATCAGAGGCATTTGAGCTTGCTGCCAAGTTTTGTTATGGAGTCAATGTTGAAATCACTCTATCGAATGTAGCTATGCTACGCTGTGCAGCACATTTCCTTGAAATGACTGAAGAGTATGCAGAGAAAAGCCTAGAAACAAGAACTGAGGTATATCTTAAAGATATGGTCCTCCCAAATATATCAAATTCCATATCAGTTTTACACAAATGCGAGACACTCTTGCCTATAGCAGAGGATATTAATCTAGTTAACAGGATAGTTACTGCAATAGCTAATAATGCATGTAAGGAGCAGCTGTGTTCGGGATTATTAAAACTCGAACATAACTTCCCAGTTAAAGGATTATCGGCTTTGGAGCCAGAAACACCAGTAGATTGGTGGGGAAAATCACTAACAGTTTTGAATCTTGATTTCTTCCAAAGGGTTTTGACAGCAGTGAAATTGAAGGGTCTTAAACAAGATTTAATAAGCAAGATTTTGATAAACTACGCTCAAACTTCTCTTCAAGGCGTCGTTGTAAGAGATCCACAACTTCTAAAGGGAAACTACTTGGATTTAGAACTTCAAAAGAAACAAAGGATACTTGTTGAAACTTTGGTGAGCTTGTTACCGACACAATCTAGGAAAAGCTTGGTTCCTATGGCATTCCTTTCAAGCTTATTAAAGAGTGCAATTGCGCAGTTGGCTTCTACATCTTGTAGAGCGGATTTAGAGAGAAGGATTGGCTTGCAATTAGATCAAGCAATCTTGGAAGACATACTTATTCCTGCTAGTTCTCAAGTGAATAATCATAGTCCCATGTATGATATTGATTCGGTGTTGAGAATTTTCTCAATTTTCTTGAACTTAGACGAGGATGATGATGATGACGACAATCACTTAAGGGATGAAAGTGAGATGATGTACAATTTTGATAGCCCTGGCTCTCCTAAGCAAAGCTCTATTATTAAGGTATCGAAATTGTTAGACAATTTTCTTGCAGAAGTGGCCTTGGATTCAAACTTGACACCTTCCAAGTTCATAGCTCTTGCAGAGCTTCTGCCTGATCATGCTCGCGCAGTTACTGATGGTCTGTATAGAGCAGTGGATATCTTCCTCAAGGTAACGTATGTCTTTCTTGTTGCATCCACTTTCTCATAAACCAGTACATGTGACATAGTAAAGCTACAAATTTTCATGCTTCATTATAATTTGTACTTAACATAAATACTTATATTGTACATTGTACAAGTTCTGCAATAGAAAATGCTCTCTGAAAGCAGGCAAATAAAACAATCACTTGTAACAGAATGAACATTAGATCTCATATGTCCTCGTAATTTCAGGTTCATCCAAACATGAAGGATTCAGAGAGATACAGGCTATGCAAAACTATTGACTGTCAAAAACTTTCTCAAGAAGCATGCAGTCACGCAGCTCAGAATGAACGACTTCCTGTACAAATGGCGGTACAAGTACTCTACTTTGAACAAATCAGGCTTAGAAACGCAATGAACGGGGGCCAAAATCAGTTCTTCTTTGGCTCAGTTAATGGACATCATTTCCCTCAAAGATCAAGTAGTGGAGCAGCAAGTGGAGCTATATCTCCTAGGGACAACTATGCCTCGGTCAGAAGGGAAAATCGCGAGCTCAAGTTAGAAGTGGCTAGGATGAGGATGAGGCTAACAGACTTAGAAAAAGATCATGTTTCCATGAAACAGGATATGGTAAGATCACATCCTGCTAATAAGTTGTTCAAGTCATTTACCAAGAAACTTAGTAAGCTTAATGCCCTTTTTCGGCTTAACAGTGTTAAGCCACTAGGGTCTAAGGCTAACTCAGAATCTCGATTCTTCTTTCAGAGGCGAAGGCGGCATTCTGTAGGATGAGATTGGTTGTTATAGTGTGAATATAATCAAATTTGAGTGTATAGTATATATATACTTAATTAGAGTGTTAATTTTTGTCTAAATAGAGTGGTTTTTTTTTTTTTTTTTTTTTTTTTTTAAACCAATATAGTTAATTTATTTGTTGTGTACTTTTTGTGTGGCTTGGCTGAAACAACCTCCTCAGTGTTTCAGAAGAGTTCCTAACAGAAACAGTCTCTATGAAAGCCTTGTGGCCTGTTTCTGTATTTGATCCACTTTGAGAAAAAATTTTCTTCAGTTGAAAGTCTTTAAGAAAATTACATGCTCTGTAATTTCAAAATAACACTCGTTCCGTTCAGAAATTAGTCACCATGCTCTAACTTCTTACTTGTATGATAACCTAATCACAAACCACTATCTTAAAAAATGTGACAACTAATCACAAATCACTCATATGAAAGTAGTGTATGTGTGCATGTGACTATAATATCCAAAGTAAAAAAGTAAAACCGGATAATTTTTTTTATATACTGTCAAAAACTCGAAACGTGTCTATACCTGGGAATTTTTTTCCCAAGGGCACTTCTAATTAGCTGGCCATCTAGCTGTTAAAACAAAGACTATCAATACCAACTTTATTTGATGTGAAAGCATGCCGGAAACACAATCATAGCTATATGAAGTAGAAAATTTCAATCATATTATTGTTACTTGATGGGTTTTTGTGGTAAAAGTTTTGAACCAAATTGGCCTTTAGAATAGACACAACAAGTGGCCTAATGATAAGCAAGCGTGGAGTAACAATTCCTTTGTGGCTTTAACTAACAAAACAGTATGGCATCCAAGATATGCCAAAAATATTTTCAAAACTTTTTTATTCGTTATAATTGTTCGATTATTTTATTTTTACCACCTTAAATTAGAAAAACCTAAATTGTTTTTTACCATCTAAAAAAAAAATACCACCAACTAAAAAAACTATTTTATTATATTTTGATTTTGAGTGTTGGTTATTAAGGATTTTTAAAATAAGATTAAAGGTTTTGGAGGGATCGTGAAGGAAAAAAAAAAAAAAAAAAAAAAAAAAAAAAAAAGCTAGTTTGGGGTTTTAGAGTGCTATTGGAGGAAAAATACTTCTTACCTATTAAACATTATTAGAAGTATCCGTGCTGATGCACAAGATGTTTCAATTTGTCAAGAAAAACAATATTAAAATATACTTCGTGTTATTAAAATCTTTTAAAAATATCTTATTGCTTGATAGGTATTGAACTATTGATTGAAGGTAATTTTCCTTTTATCTTGCGTTATTGATAGATACTCCGATTCATACCTTTTAAAAAGTATGATTAAACACTTATTAATAGTGTGAGGACAATTATAACCTCAAAATGTTTGTTAACCTATATGCCTCTATTGATATGATGTTAATTGCCTCTAAGGTTTTATTTGTGTGACTTAATGATTCAACTCATACGAATAATGTTTTTGACAATTATACCCTCTATAAAGTTTATTTACTTATTTACCCATGTTAATGTGTTTTTTACGATTATTTGCCCTTTATTAATGTTAATTGCCTTTTTTGAAACTCTTAAGAATAATTTCAAAAAAAAGAAAAGTGCGTGAACATTTATACTTGTAAAAATATTTGTTTACATATTCTACTTCATTAATGTTGTCAACAACTAAAAGACTCTCCAAACATAACTAGCTATGAGCGCGCATTGCGCGAGTTAGCAACCCTAGTGTTACTAAAAGTTTAATAAGTTTACTGGTTGCTTTTTTATGTCGTATGATATGGTTGTTGATATGGAGAGAAGAAAATTTGGACTTTGTCCTCTTCTCATTAACCCTAATTAAGATTATCAATTTATCATGGTACATGGGAGAAATTAATAAAAAATAAAAGTTATAAATAATTTAATTAAAAGGCCAATAAAATTTTTTAAGGAAAAATTGTCCGCGATAATCCTACTTTTGGGGCGTCCTCCAAAAATAATCCCACATTTGGGTTATTTTTAAATAATCTCACATTTGGGTTATTTTTAAATAATCCGACCTTTATACTCAATCTGCTCAAAATGGTCCCGAGTGACCAGTGATCGATTAAAGACGTAATTTTTTTTTATTAAGTTTAATTTACACGTGCCGCAACTTGATTTGTGCAAAATAAAAAAATAAAAAAATTAATCAAAAAACAAAAAGTAAATTAAAAATAAAATAAAAAACACTCACCAACCCAACCACTGCCACCGCCAGCCTAACCTGAACCCTACCCCTGACTGTCGCCGGCGCCTAGCTGACCCACTCTCTGGATGGCCGGCGCCCATCCCGTTGGCTCATTTCCTCCCTCTTCCGCCGGCGAAACTCACCTTACCCATCTTCTCTTCCCGTTTGGTTTTCAATCTGGATTGTTTTGGGTAGGGTTTACGGTTTGTGGGGCCGGCGAATTAGGGAGGGTTTAAGGTTTTGGGGCCGGCGAATTGGTGAGGGGGGTCGTTTCGGGGAGGGAGGGACATTTATGCGGTGGATCGAGGTGGGGATAATGGGAGGAGGGTGGCGCTTCGGGTGGGGGAATTTGGGAAGGGGAGAGTGGTGGTGAGGTGGTTTAGCTGGCGGGGGAGGGGGGAAATGCGCCGGCAGGATCCTCCAGCCGGAGAGTCGGCCAGCTAGGCGTCGGCAGCCGAGGTAGGGGTCAGGGGCTGTGGCGGTGGTGGTTGGGCTGGTGGAGATTTTTTTTAATTTTTTTTGTAAAGTTTTTTAATTAATTGTTTTTTTTTTAATTTTAAATTTATTTTTTATTTATTTTTTGACCAATCACAGGCCGACTGGTAACCAGTTGGGACCATTTTGAGCGGATTGTGTATAAAGGTCGGATTATTTAAAAATAACCCAAAGGTGGGATTATTTTTTGCGGACACCCCAAATGTGGGATTATTCCGGGCAATTTTAATGGTATAGCTTTATTTTCAAACTAAATGATGCTTTTTAAGTTTTAACTACTCCTTCAGTACGTTTTTGTTCAACTCACTTCTATTTTATGCAGTCTCCAATACATAGGTTTGACCAATTATAAATTTAATTATGGACTAACGAAGATTATATTAAAAAAAAATTGATATTTGAATACTAAATTTAAAACGATTATTCCAATAAGATCAGAAGTTGTAATTTCTTGTTTGTATATAATAGCAATAGTCAATACACGGTGAGTCTAACATTATTGAGTTTTTCAACTTATAAATGGATTTAAAACAACTTGTTCACGGACATTATTGAGTCGAACATGATCTGCTTTGATCATTTATTTGACGAATAGAAGATTTTTGTTCACTAGGGTAGCTAATGCGCGCGATACACGCTATAGCTAGCCATTTTCGAAGACTTCTTTTAGTTGTTGGAAACATATCTATAGTACTATATAAAGAGAAAGGACATCTTGGTGAGCTCTTTCCCAAATTAAAGTCAAGAAGAACCGCAATTCCCAAATTGCAGCCAAATCTTTTTATTTTCCCATTCTACCGTCCACGTAAGCACTGGTTAAAAAACCGGTTTTTTTTTTTTCCGGTCCAGGGTAAACCGCTACTTGAAGTAGCGGTTTCTTTGCAATAAACCGCCACTTCAAGTAGCGGTTTCTTAGTTTAAAACCGCTACTTGAAGTAGCGGTTTGTTTACAAAAAACCGCTATTTTATGTAGCGGTTTATTTTGGAAAACCGCTACTTCAAGTAGCGGTTTACTTTGAAAAACCGCTACTTGAAGTAGCGGTTTACCCTGGACTGGTTTTTTTTTCAAACTTGCATAATCACTCAAAAAAAAAACCTGCAAGTTGTGTACCTGTAAAACATGAGATATATAGCATATTTTCAACACAACCACCATAAATAACAAGTTTATGAAGATCTAAGGAAGTCGAAATTGCAAAGTCGAATATTTTTCAATTGATTAAATATAACAAAATCCAATTCTAAGCATTTACAAAAAAATTAGTTTAGTTCCAAAATATACACTTAGCTCGGGCGTTGTTTCTTCCCATGAGGTGACGATGAAGATGATGCAGTTGTCTCCTCTGGAATGTCATCCAGGCCAACTCCAACCCCAGACGTAGTGTTGCTACGCCGTCGGTTTCTCTGATACTGGCGATGCACTAGTGGAGGAGATGTCATGATAGTATGCTGAGAAGGAGTCGGTGGACGGAAGGCACGTGCTGAATGGCCTCCACGATGAGGTGGTGGTCTGATCGGCATAGTGTGCACAGTAGAAGATGAAGACGTGGACGGTCGAGGCTGCTGAATAAGGTGTGACTGCCCCACCCTAGACAAGGTTTGGCCACAAAATGATGTAAAACCCTGCATCGTCTGTATGGCAAATGGTATAGCCGTCTCTGGTGGCAAGTGGGAGATGGTCTCAGTAGCTCCCGATAGCTGGACGTGCAAATCAGCAAATGCATGTGCCTACATTTAAGTGTAGTTTTAATGTTAGTAAAATGAAATCAAAAACGTAAGAACTAGATTGAAATGAAGTGAAGTTCATACAAGCAGGAGGTCAGAGGTAGCTGGCTGGTAATGACTCGGGGGGCGCTCCTGCAAAGGTGGAGTAATGACCAGTCTCGTGATGCGACGGTACCAAGCCATGTACTCTGTCATGGCCGGGGAAGAAGTCCCAGTGAACGGGTATCCCTGGACGACTAATGCCTCTCGTCGACTCCACTCGTGTACATGGTCCGAATGTCGAATCTCCCAATTACGCTGTCCCCTTCGATCCTTCCTGTGTAGAGCAACGTCCGTGTCTACATCCTGTGGGATCGGCTGGTCTAACCCGAACTGACGAAGGACTCGGTCTGGGAGGTGGAACTCAACGACGTCAAAGCATATCAGAGGTGCCCGTGAACGCCAAATGTGCATGTCTGAGCGACAAATCTCCGGAAGTCGATCCATCACCGCCTCAGTATATGGCTGCCAAATCATCTAATTCCCAAAACAAGTATGTCAACATGTATATGACTAACATAATGGAAGAAATACAATGCACAAAAAAAAAGAAACACCGATTGTACCTGGTCCTCGCGCTGATGGTCAAACGCATCTCTGTCTCCCAGTCTCGAAGGAACGGCAAGTAGTAGAGTGACACAGCATCGCCACTCTTGTCGGCGAACAGAATAGATCCCATGAGAGTGAGAATGTAAGCACGGCTATGGCGCTGAACTGTCAAGTCATCAGCTCCCTCTGGCATCTGTGAGAAGTGACGTCTGAGCCACGTCAACTTCAAAGTAGATCCCTCCAGAAACGGCTTACCGTTATCATCATGGCCAGGTCGAACTCCCAGCAACTCCTCAACTAGGACATGTCTTCTTGTTATGCCCAGGTCGCTGACAAACACTGCATGCCTTCTTCACACGATTGGGACGCTCATCCATTTCATTTCGAATTCTAGTGGACCGTCGGCCTGGGCCTCTTTTCAAATCTGGGTTGGCAATAGTAGTAGGACCATTGTAAGCTGACCAGTGGCAAGGATCAGGAACTGGTGCGAAACACTTCGCGTATGAACGCCTATATTCGGCGGTCATGAAAAAAGAATCCACAAAGTCTGCATGTGATAGGCTTCTATGACGACAAACTGCTAGTACATGAGAGCATGGGAGCTTGTATATTCTCAATTTCTCACAAGTACATGTCTTGCTCAACAGATTCACAGTGTGGGAGTTACCACCTTTACCAGCTTTTCTTCTTCCACGACCGGTCCTAACCTGATACAACCCGATGGCATCATAGTCAAAAGCAACAACCTCATGGTGCGTGGCTTTCTCCATGTTGGCTTCTATTGTCTTCTTAGCCTTTTCCGATAACTCATGGCCCTCTTCAAGTCTTCTTTTACTCCAACTTCTTCTAGTTGCAAAATAGGAGTTAACCCGGAAAAAGGTCATTTGCACTAAAGGGGTCTGCAGTGACGGAATCCATCAATACATGGCTTGAATGCCCAAAAGACTCGTTGAAAAACATGTGTTCCAGGAACCGTACACTCTAACAACCTCCACTCAACAACAGTTCCAGGATTTGATTCCTTGAGAGCTTGCATGTACTTAGGCAACTGTTCATATGAACCCTCCCAATCCCCATAAATGAGTTTTATTGCCTTTTGTTTTGCTAGCCATGCTCTCTTGTAGGTTATTTGGAATCCATCAAATTTCTCTTTCACAAGTTGCACCATTGTCTTGATTTTCAATGAAGGATCAACGCGAATGACATCTAGAAGAGCATTGCAAACGAACTCGGAAGTCAGTAGCTTATGATCTCCCGAGTCGATGTCACCAACACAGTTACTTGCATGAGGGTCGTTGTACCTCACAATTTTAAACGTAGAGAGTGTTGGATCTTTCACTCCTCTAAGCCTCCACGAACAACTACATTGTTCTTTCCTCTTGCACTCAACAACATATTTCTCTGGCTCTGCCTCCACAACTCGAATTGTTTGATTTCTAGCTATGGAGTAAGATTTCACAGCATCTTTCAGTTGTTGCAATGAGTCAAACTGCTGACCAACCTCAAATTCTCCCCCATTGTTATATGTCTCATTTCCTAACCAAGACATCCATGAGTTATTCAAACGAGGATCAACTTGCGCCACTTCATTGAAGTCTGAAGTGGGGGCGCTTCCTTTAATTGCCTTATCAAGAGCTTCAATTACCTCTTCATCATCATCTTCATCAGTGTCATTCATCTCTGCATCGCCAAATACATCAACATTGTTTGGGTCAAGAGAATCAAGAATGCCTTGTGGTTGTGTGCTTGTCGAGGTTCCAACATTAGGCGATGAGGCCGGAGACCTAAACTGTGAGAGATGGTCATTGACATAATGTGGATCAACAAGCATTCTTGTGAATGACCCTATGCCCACACTTTGAACACCAGTGGAAAACGGTTGATCCACACTACCAAAAAAATCCATCCCCGGAAAGGAACCAGTGTTAGTTTGCACAACTGGCTCCTTTGGAACTTGTTCAATGAACAATTGCATTGCAACAGAAGAACTCTGAGTCACAGCAATCCACATAGCTCTAACAGCGTTGTCGTCATTTAACGGAATTGCAACATATGCCCCAGCCATAGGATAACGCATAACCACCTTCAACTCCACACCTCTAGGATCAACACTCAATTCTTCATATAGCTTGTTCAGAACTTGTGAATATGTCATCGCAGAATGTACAAACACAAATTTTTGATTCCCACCCCTATACGTTATATCGCTATCTTTGTGGACAATTTCTCCACCCCAATAGCAATATAGAGGGTAGTTCGGAACCTCCATGTTTCATTCTAGAAAAGACCATTATTAATCAAAGATATTAGATTGCAAAAATTCATTAACAGTGTGGCAATGTCCTAACATCAAGCAAGCAAACTACACAATTATAGCAACCTAAACTGAGCTATGAAGGTCTTAATACCTCTTGAAGCTCAACATGGGCATAAGTCATGACTACATGTACTTTGAGCTCATGTACTTTGTGTATAGAAGCTCTATTTTCACTTTCAAAATCAGCAATTATAGCAACCTAAACTGAGTAATGTGATCGAAACCATTAATAATTCTACAAGGGTTATATGTAAGGTAAGTAAATCAACAACAACAACCAAAACCAACCACAAACATACATACAATTCTGAAACTCAATAACAAAAACAATAAACAAGAACACTAACAACAACAACACAACCAAAACCGAAACTCAATAACAACAACAATAAACAAGAACACTAACAACAACAACACAACCAAAACCAACAACAACAACACATACATACAATTCTGAAACTCAATAACAACAACAAACTCAATAACAACAACAAACCCAATAACTGAATACAAAAAATAATTAGGGCACTTACCACAAACAAGAAGATCAGCACGTTTCTTCTGAAATTAGCGAAGCCGACCACTAAAGTCGAACCCTCGGCGTCAACAGCGGCGGCCTTCGTTGCTGAGGAATGCTCCGGCGGCGTCGGTGGATTCCTTGGCTGCGCCGGCTTCCGTTGAAGGAGGTGTGATTTTGGTGGAAGGCGTGGATGGGATTTTGGTGAGAAGACGAAAATGAAAGAGGAAAGTGAAATCAGGAAATTATACCTGCTAGAAAACCGCTACTTGAAGTAGCGGTTTATTAAACAAAAACCGCTACTTGAAGTAGCGGTTTATTAAAAAGAAATCGCTACCTGAAGTAGCGGTTTATTAGTAAAAACCGCTACTTCAGGTAGCGGTTTTGCTGTAGACCGGATTTAAAATTTCTTCCCCCTGAACCGGTGACGTGGACGGTACTTTGGGAATTCTTAAAACTTTGGCTGCAATTTGGGAATTGCGGTTCTTCTTGACTTTAATTTGGGAAAGAGCTCCATCTTGGTTGATAAATTTGCCTTTTCCCAAAATGGCCTTCTCAATTTACAAAATTACTTATTCACTATTTTTTTTTCAAAAAAAAAAAAATAAGTTCATAAATGCTCACAAAAAAAAAAAAAAAAAAAAAAAAAAAAAAAATTGGTTTACAGTAGATTTTTTTTTCAAAATAAAATGTTAATCATACTATTCAATGTCTAAAGTGTAAGTCAATAACTGTTTATACATAGATTTTTTCTTAAAAAAAATACTTCATTGCTATATATTCAATAATAAAATATAAATAATTTTTTAAACCAAAAAAAAAAAAAACTCACATCCACCCACATTTAGCATGTAAATTTTATAACCCTTGAAAAAGATAAAATTATGGTGTTCAGTAGATTAAAAAGAAAGAGAATAAATTATCTATTTTTCATAGAAAAAAAATAAAAACAAACAAACTACCCACAAAACAAAATTATCTACTTTTCATTAAAAAAAAATACACATAAACTGCCCACGTTTACATTTTTTTTTATTGAATATAATGGAACCACATTTAACTTTGTTGAAGGATAACCATACATTTTTTTATTAAAAAAAAAAAGAATATTAATACCCATATAGTCATCAATTCATCATATACCACGTTCAATCGTTCATCTATGTTACAAAGGAAAAAAAATAAAAAATTGTACATCTACCTATATACGTACTATAGATGTTTACTCTATATTCTTGAATCTTTTGTACAAAAAAATTCAACTACCATATTTTTAGGGTTAAGGATAAAGAATTGGATTAAATTTGTTATTGTATAATTTCTTTTACGATCTCTAATTTAAACCTTCGATTTAAAATTTTATGTAAGTATTGATTTCGAAAAAATCTACAATAACAATATTATGAGTAAAATAATAATTTCCTATATTGTAAACGCGTAGCGTGTATCTTGTAGCTGGTATAGGTAAACAAATATTTAGGACATAAATGTCCGCACACTATTCTAAAGAGTTTTTCAAGAAAAAATAATTAACGTTAATGAGGGCAAATAAGTAAATAAATATTATAGAGTGTATATTATCCAAATACTATTCATAAGAGTTAAATCTTAAATCACACAAGGAAAAGCTTAGAGGCAATTAATATCATATTAATAGGGGCATATGGTAAACAAACATTTTTAAGGATATAATTGTCCTCACACTATTCATAAGTGTTTTCTCATACTTTTTAAAAAGTAGGGAAGCTTGTTTCTTATATAACAAACGAGTTTTGACCAAACTTTGAATGACCTTATTCGTGAGTAGTTCATGAATGTATCAACTCATTTAGGCTTTTTTCTTTTATGCCTGAAATAAAATCTGGTCTGATTATATATTTTTTCATTTAACAAAACATTAACCATATTTGTACATGTATAAGAAAAAACATTATCAAGTGAGATCTCATTTGATTCGTCTCAACTTGTATTTTAAAAATATTTTCGTTTTTTATTAGATACATCAATTTTTAAATTGCGGACTCCTAGGTAATTTTTGGATTAGAGAGATATAAAGATTAAAAAAAAAGAAAAAAAAAAAGAGGGCTCATGTAATATGTGAGAGATGTAAAGAATTTATTGACTAAAAGGGGAAGTGATGCATCTAAATTAAAACTTCCATATATAAAAAGTGATGCATCTAATGCAATAAGAAAGTAAAGATGACAATAAGCAATCGAAATTAAAAGTAATGATCTGGTCTGGTTTGATTCTTTTTATTTTTTTTATTGTTTTTTTTTACAAACCATTGGCCTAAAATTTTCTAATGTAGTCTGATTTTAAGAAGAATTACATAATACTTCCTTCGTTCCATAATATACAAAGCATTTCATGTTTTTCTTTTAGGACGTCCCAAAATGTCGATCATGTTTTATTAATTTTCCTTTTACAATAAGAAATGTCTTAATTACCCTCATTATTTTTGTCTTTACTTACTATACTACCCAAAATACCCACACATTTCTTCTTAATATTTGTTTTTTTAGGTAAGAAAAAAGGAAAGAATTAGGATCCCCACCTCACAAGGGGCGATCTTAAAGCATCTGAGGTGAGAATAGGGTACAAAGCTGAAGAGATACAAAGAGATATCCAATTGTGAGTGACAAGATGCCCAACATTTGCAATCCAATCTGCTGTTCTATTTGCTTCTCGGTAGACATGTCGGAGTTCCTAATGGGGATTATCTTATTATTTGTAGCCGTACTCATTTTCATGTATTTTTCTCTCTTCATGTATCAGAATTTGTTATTTGTGCCCTTACTCACATATCTTGTACTTTTGCTCTATTTCATATCATGTACTTCATCCTGTCTCTCCATTCCTATAAAATATTATAAACGAAAACTATATTATGGGACATAATATGTATAGTAACATCAGTAAGTGATACAAATGAAAGGGGGAGCCCTAGTTTATCTTCATGATAAATATGAGATGTTTATCTTGCCTTGAAAATGTGTAAACTAATTAAAATAATAATTTATTGGAAAATTTGTCAAGAATAAACCAACCTTTACGTGATTAGCCAAAACAAGTCAATATTTCGCTTAACTCAAATTAAGTCGACTTTTAAGGGGTATTTTCTTTTAATAGGCCAAATGACCTACAACCTACCAAACAGGTCAAATTTTCAATTAAAAATAATTTATTAAAATTAATTTCTTTTAATAATATTAAATTTAATTAAGTAACTATAACTATGTTAAATAAACAAATTATAAAAATTAAAAAAAAAAAAAAAACCCAGCCAACCCCTTCCCCCCCCCCACTGCCAGCCTCTGCCAGCCGCCGGCGCCGGCGACCCCACTGACCTCCCTTCCCCCAACCCAAGAATTCTCTCTCCTCCTCTTCCACCTAACCACCATCATTTCCTTTACTCTCACTACCTCAATCCCTGACTCTCGGTGTAACAATCCACCACCACCCCTGAACACATTGCTGCTGCCGTCAACTGCCATAAAAGCGCCGCCGTTCGATTCATTAACCCAGACACAAAGGTCATTTGAGCCTTCTCATACTCCTTTGTTTCACTCCTCCTCAGTATCCCCAACACCCTCGTCCACCACCGCAAATTGCTCCAACGCCGCTGTCTGGCTTTACACCCACGTCATCCCTTTCTACCTCGTCGACGATCTTCTCCCCGCCATTCTCAACATCCATGTTGCTTTTCACGAAGGGACGGGAATGGGTTTGGGAATTGCGTTTAGGGTTTGAGGGTTGGGTTTAGGGACAGGAATGGGGAAAGGGAGGGAATGGGATGGGGTTGCCGGTGACGAAGGAGTGAGGTGGTTGCCGGCCGCCAGTCGTTTGAAGGGGTAGGGGGCTCGCAGTGGGTGGTGACTAGGATTTTTCATTTTTTTTATTTATTTTGATATAATTAATTAATTGTAAATTGAATTTTTTTAAAAGGACTAACCACGCAATAACACGTGTCATACTTTACCTTAACAACTAGTTACCTTTTAATCTAACAGGTTTTAACTCATTTTAAGAATATTCCTCTTAAAAGTCGATTTATTTTGAGCTAATCGAAATGTTGGCTTATTTTGAGCTAACCACGCAAAGGTTGACTTCTTGACAATTTTTCCTAATTTATTTGACTAGGTGGCATCTAGCCGTATACTTCTTCAATTTGCAAAAGTAACGGACGTTACCCATCTACTTCCTTCTCCTTCTTCCTCCATTAAAACTAGATTCTCCTTCTTCATCCATTGAAACTAGCTTCTCCTTCTTCCTCCATCTTCTTCATCCTTCTGCGATCTCCACCTTTTACAACCAACACCACTATCTCCGGCGGCTTCGACGCCAAATAAAATGAAAACCCTATGAAAAAGGTGAAATTAAGGGCATGGTAAACCCCTAAGAGTAAGGGTATTATATTCTTCCATTGAAGCTAATTTTGAGCTTTACTTTTTCCATTGAAACTTCTGAAATTTTTCTTCAAACTTTTCTTCCATTAATGTTGTTTTCACAAAGTTAACGCCCTTAACGCCGTTAACTTCTCATATTCTTGAAATTAAAAGACTACCCAGAGTTAAGTATATTAATTGACAATTATATCCTCGTGATAAAGACAATTTGTTTATCGTGAAGATAAACTTATATTTTCTCCAAATAAAAATAGAGTGGAGAGATGTGAAAATAAAGTGAAGAGAACAAAATCCTACCCTCGTAGTGGCAGCTCAAAACTTCACCTATCTATAGTGTGGTACACTGGTACCTACCAAATTCTAAACTGTCACAAGCAGCAAAAACCTCCGATAAACCCCTTTAAACCTTCTTCGTTCGCCGGAAAAACAGCGTTTTCCGGCGTTACAATCTTCACCGAATGTCTGTTATTCTTAGCAGTCGACACTGCAACTTTCTCAAGGTAAGTCGCCTTCTTCCACGCTTTCTCTTTCTTCCTTACAATCTCTCTCCTAAAACCCTCATTTGCTCATTAACCCAGATCCCTTTTACACATTTTGTACCCTTTAATCATACTTTTTCTTCATTTTCTTCAAATTTTACTTGTACCCATCATTTTCTTTGTCAATTTTTGCCTTTTCCATGCTCTAATTCGATTAATTTTGATGTTATTAATTCAAATGAGAGGCGTAGAATTTTTGTTGGGTTATCTAGAATGATTAAGCATCAGGAATTTGAAAATTTGATGGGGTTTTCACAAAGTTTTTGCCCCTTTATTCTATTTGAGATCATGAAATTGTTTGATAGTAGGGAATCTGCTGCTGCATTTTTTAAGCTTGCATTTCAGGATCATTCTGAGGATACTATTAAGCATTGCTGTGTTGTTGCACATTTGCTCGCATCCGAGAATCTTAAGTTGCTTGCTCAGGATGTGATATCTTGGGTTATATTGAGAATTGGGTCTTGTAGAAGTATGGAATTTTTAGAGCTCATGTGGAGCCAACATTTCGATTATGAATCGGATTTTTCGGTACTTGATTCACTTATGAGGGGTTTTGTGAATGCTGGTTTTGTTTATATTGCATTGGATGTGGTGAAGCGAATGAGGGATGTTGGTGTAGTACCGAGTTTGTCGGCTATTAGTATATTGTTTAAGTTGTTGTTCAGGGTTGGTGACTATGGTAGTGTATGGAAATTGTTTAGAGATATGGTTCGCAGAGGGCCTTGCCCATCTAATTTTACATTCAATATTATGATTCTTGGATTTTGTAAAAGCGGTTGTCTTGTGAATGGAGAGAGTTTACTACATGCAATGCGGAAGTTTCAATGTCAACCAGATGTATATACCTATAATATTTTGATCAGTGCCTGCTGTACAAGAGGGAGAACTGCTGATGGATTGACTTGGATGCATTTGATGATTGAAAATGGCTATAAACCAAGTTGTGTTTCCATGACTACTATTATTAATTCGTTGTGTAAAGAAGGTAATGTATCAGCAGCAAGGAAATTATTTGATGGAGTTATTGAATTAGGCCTCAGTCCTAATATCTTCATGTATAATGCCCTAATTGATGGATATGTAAAAGCAAGAAATATAGTTCAAGCAAATAGTGTTTTTGATGAAATGAGGAAGAAAAACATAGCTCCTGATGCTATAACTTTTAACATATTAGTTGCTGGACACTATAAGTATGGGAGGGTAGAGGATGCAGAACATGTCTTAAGTGAATTTTTATCATCACAACTCATACCAGATGCTTCATTGCCTGATCTTTCAGTTTCTGGATTGTGCTGGGCTAATCAGTTAGACGAGGCCATGAAATTGTTAGAGGATCTGATTGAGCGGGGGCTCCCTATCGGTGTTATTGCTTTTAACTCCATAATTGCAGCTTATGCTAAAGTGGGGCTAGAAGAAAAAGCCTTCAGAGTTTATAAAATAATGGTTAAATGTGGTCTTTCTCCTACTTCATCCACATGTAGCTCTTTGCTCATAGGTTTGTCCAACAAGGGTAGGCTGCAAGAAGGTAAGGAGCTCATAAATCATATGATAGCAAATGGTTTTCCTGTGAATAAAGTTTCCTTTACTGCTCTTCTAGATGGCTATTGCCAGAAAGGGGACATGTCAGGGGCTCAAACCCTGTGGAATGAAATGAATCAGAGGGGGTTATCCCCTGATGCCGTTGCCTTCTCTGCTTACATTGACGGGCTTTCTAAAGCTGGCCTTGTGGAGGAGGCCTTTGCTGTTTTTACAGAAATGAAAATGAGAGGATACATGCCGAACAACTTTCCATACAACTCTTTGATTTTTGGCTTATGTAACAGTGGTCTAATGGATGAAGCACTGAAATTAGAGAGTGAAATGAAGCAAATGGGGTTGGTTCCAGATAACTGTACCTTTAATATCATTATAAATGGATTCTGTAAGCAGGGGAGAATGAAGTCAGCTATTGATGCTTTTGCAGCGATGCATCGGACTGGTTTGTCTCCAGATATAGTGACTTACAACACTCTTATTAATGGATATTGTAAAGCATTTGACTTAGCTAGTGCCAATGACATTTTACATAAAATGCATTTTAGTGGTTGGAGCCCTGACATCACAACCTATAATATCCACATGCACGGGCTTTGTTCTAGTCGGAGGGTAAATCAAGCTATAGCAATGTTGGATGAGCTAGTATCAGCTGGTATTGTTCCAAATTCCATCACATACAACATTATGATGAATGGAGTTTGTGGTGACATCCTGGATCGTGCCATGATGCTGGCTGCAAAGTTGCTCAAGGTGGCTTTTATTCCAAATGTCGGTACCATTAATTTGTTGCTTTCTCAGTTTTACAAGCAAGGGATACCTCAAAAGACTTTGATGTGGGCCCAAATGTTCCATGAGATCGGTTTTGAATTCGATAATGTTACATATAAGATCATTGATAAGGCTTACAGTGATTTGCAAGAAGACATGGAAGCTTCAGCAGGTATACCAGAGAAAAGTCTGTTTCTTGACTTTCTCATGTACATCAATTATGACTACTTACGTAGATGTATAAATTCCACTAAACTGCTTAAGCATCCTATAGCTCTACTTGATGATGAATGTCAAGTGTCTTCCAATGCTGGGTAAACTGCATCCTCTTCATATTTGAGGTTCAATGGATCTTTGCTCAACTGTGAATATCTCCTACAGCTAGTGAGAAAACCTGCAATTAGTGGGGCCTTAGGGGTAAAAAATAGGCAGCCTTGTCTCCTAATTGCAATTTGCAATGCCTACAAACTAAATTTCACCGGAACTGGCCAAAATTGTGAAATTGCAAAGACAGTAAGAATTATAGTTCAGGGGAAAAAAATGGAGTCGAAACACCATCACATGTGAAAGATTGCTCGTATCTGGGGAGCAGCAAGGTATGATTCTGCAACTGAATGTATATTTGACAAGGTGACTACTTTCTTAATGTGACTTAGCAAGTATTCATGGCCTGACCTCTATGGCTTTGTGACTTTCTTTAACTATCTGCTGTTAATTACGTACTTGAAAGGCTTTAGTATAAAAATTCCATATACTTCAGTCTTTAAAGGAGCTGTATATCATCAAATGGGATTGTAATCATAGTCTTTTGAGTGGCTGGATGCTTCCAATGCTAACTGCTGAGCAAAATAATTAAAATTCACTCAAAAATATTCATCTTCCTTTTTCTATCTCTGTTCTCCTCTATTTACAGACTAACTGATTTCCCTCTTCTCCTTGCTCGACCTCTAACTAGAATTATGATGACAATTCCTAATGTGACCTTCCCTAATACTTGATGCATTACAAATAAGTTCCATTTGTTGTTTTATGTTAGAGTATAATTTCATGAAGGATTGACTTATTTTTTGTGTTTTATTGTTACAAGAGGTCTAATAACTTTTGAGTTTGTTTTAGGAGCTACGAAATGCATGCTTTCCCAATTTAGTTTTTCTCGCTTGCTTTTTGTTTGAGCTGTTTGTTCAAATACTTTTATTTAGGTGAGTTTGATCCACTATTGACTTTGACACTCTTAATTTAGTAAATCCTTATTAGCCTTACTAAATAATATCAGGGTTCTGTCATATGAAGTTTTCCGCATGCTTGGATCTTTTTGAAGAGTGTATCAAGTGAATCAAGAGTTACAGTTGTAGTACCTTTTCTTTTATTATATTACCTGTGTTCCCAAAAGTTTTTATACTTAGATTTTTGACATTCACAAACTCCATTTACACGAAATTTCTACCTAAGAAAAATATTTTCATGTAGGGTCTTGTTAGATTCGTCCCAATATATATTTTCGCAATATCAACCCTTTAATTTATAAATACTCCCTCCGTATCTAAAAGAGTACATCACTTTGTTTGACACACGTGCCAATGCATAACTTTGACTATTAATATCTTTAATTTTGTATTAATTTAACTAATTAAATTTGGATTATGAAAATGTATGTTGTGATTAATCCAACAAAACTTTACATAATAACATTTGGTCTTAATGTATTACTAAAAATCTAGTCAAAGTTAGTATGTGAATAGTGCAAAGGTCAAATTGATGCACTTATTAAAGAGGAAATACATAACTAGAGATATCATTCGTTAGAGTTTTACATTGGCAGCGTGAAAAGGTTTGTATTTGAATTTTCAGAAATGAATGTAGTATTAGATTATCTTATTAATTAGGTTTCTTGAGGAGCATCTTCTTTAGCACAAAAACCTCACAGGTAGATGTCGGAATAGAGAGAGTTGGTAGAGTGGGTGAAGGAGTGGCTTTGTAAAAATTATTTAAAGGGTGTAGTAGAAAATGGAAATTGGGTGTGAAATTCTGAAATGTAATACAATCAAGAATAATGCATATATTGTTCTCTGTTGTGAAAATTAAATTTTTTTAACATCAAGATCTACATTGAAATATTAGAACCCTTGATCATGTAAAAATGCAAGCATACTAGTATATGCTTGAGATGAAAAGGAAAAACTTGGTACTATGATAGGCTGCATTTTGTCTACACGTTAATATATTTTGCTAACATGTTTGGGAGACCCAGGGGCGATAATCTTAGTAATCTTTTCTGTTCATTTTTTTTAAAACAGATTACTTTGTATGCAAAATGTTGAACAATTTTTTGCAACAGTGCAAGTTGCATGCTGCCACAGGTGTGATTTGTCTCACTTTATATGAAGAATGATTTTTTGACCTTTAACTTATTTTAATCTAATGAGTGGCTATGCAATTAATGTTTGCAGCATGTCATGGGTAGCTGGAGTGCAAAAAATTGAAACTTTGGCTTTGCTGGCACTCTGGCAATGTCATGGGTTGCAGCTTCACCATTTGTAGAACATATACTGCTCATTATTATCATGCAGGTACCATGTAATTAAGTTGATTGCTTGTAAATTTATATTGCTTTAGCTCTTGTGATTTTGGGTGCATTTTAATTCATAACTAATGTGTGGCCTGGGCTTTGCTCCGGGTGCTACTTTGAGTTATTTTTCTGTTTGATTTTTTATTGTGAGTAATTATAATACAATGACAAAATTAAATTATTGTACAAGCTAAGAAACATATGCAATGTGTGTGTGTGCGCAATATAAGAAATCTATTAGGCTCCATTGATATTAGTGGGTGCAAATTTAAATACTATTGATAATAAAAAAAAATATTATTATAAAAATAAAAAATGTTATTAAAAAAAATTTATGAGTCATGAGTATTTTGTTTTTATTAAGTAATTAAATAAACAGTTGATAAGTACTTGTATAATTGTATTATCCTACAAAAATAGGATAGGATGGTAGTTTTGTGTCTTTTTTTTTTTTTTTCTTTAAATTTAGGGTAGTAGTAGTTTTTTTGTTTTATTTATTTAATGAGGTTTGCAGTTCAAACCTCTTTGTATGCATTTTTAGTTAATGATGACATGGAATAAAAATTGTTAATTGGTGATGTGGCGTGATGCTAGTGTAAGAAGCAGCACACATGGCACATACACATTTTTAGGAATGCTTTTTAATATAAAGTATAGATGACATTTAGTATTTTTGTTCTTGCGCCTTTTGTTTTTTTATTTCTTGGAAAATAGATCTACCAATATTATCACCCATTTCCAGTAAAAGAAATTAACCGTGGGTCATTATATGAATATGCGTAGGCAATTAGGCATCAAGCACCATGCACCTCATACTTATTACATGCTCCCCCTCTCTTTACAAAGGGGGAAAAATCTAGGAATATGCCAAGTTTATACATGCTCTCCTACTATGCTTATTTCTTTTACATCTTTTAACCCTAAAGTTCCTTTCTGTCCACATCTTGGAAACAGCTACTGCTACTCTTAAGGCAGTTTTTTTATTCTGTTGGAATTGTATATGCTGTTTATATCTAATAGTTGCTTGTTGCACCTCATCCATGAGTGTTGAACTCTGAAGTAAGATAACATGACTATTATCCTGGAAACCATTTTACTAGGACAAATTTTTTAGCTCTTACATTTCTAAGGATGTAGGCAGGGTTTGATTGCAGGAAAAGGTTAAAGGTGGTTTCCTATAAATGCTGCACCTCAACATTCCTGTACATGAACCTAGGATCCTAGAGCACTATCTAGTGTAAGGCTATAGAAGTTCACTCAAGCGTTGCTTCTTGATGCTTCATTCTTTGTTTGTCTTGTAGAAGTTTTTCCGGTGTTTTAAGATTGCTTTCTCTATATTATATTTAATTTATATACATGGCAACTTTCCCAACGCTCCAAATGGTAAAAGAAAGTGCTATAGGTTGATGCTGCTGCTGAAAATACGTCATATTTGGAGAGTGGATTCTTATAATATTTTGTATTGTCTCTGTAAATGTTTACAGCAAATTAGCATATATGATCTTTTGTGTTCCTAGAGAACCCAAGTTAAGCTATTGTATACTAATGCGCTAACTTCTGTCATTCTCCTTGCAAGCTCCCAGCTCAAGCTACCTTAAATTAGCTGATATATAACTTGTTAGAGTTGCTAATGTGCTTTCTATCAACTGATTAACAATATTTTTTCGATCAGCTATCCTTACTCCCATTTCCTGCTGCAGATGTCCCTAGCTGCACTAATAAACTACAGAGTATGATGGACTATGGTCTTGAGGGGGAGGTGACCCTACTTTGTTGCGCCCTGGTCTTATGACAAAACACATTTATACTACGTATCTCCTATTTTACGATGGAGGGCTTCAGGATAAGGCCTATAATCATCTTCAAGTTTCTACCAACCACCAGCTATTTGGAGGATGTTGCAAGAAATTCTTGCCTTCAAATCTGCATGATTTCGAAGATGTACGGAGTTTTGCTGCTTATATCTCTTGGGTTGGTCTTTGTGCACTGCAGAGGGGGCAATTTGTATCTTACACCTGATTGTACTTCACAGCTCAATGAAGTAAGAATGTATGACCCTTAGCTTAATAAAAAGGGCCAAGCTAATTTTTCACATAAGTTCATTAGAAGATACTCCCTCCGTTTCATAATGTTAGTCTCATATACTATTTTGGACGTTTCAAAAAGATCTACCCATATTGAATATGTTCCATATTTAACTTAATTTTTTTGGAATTAATTGGTTGTGGATTGATGACATGGCTTTAAGTATGAAAATCTCTACCTTGAATTATGCATTACGACTTATGCTTTCCAAAAAAAAAAAAAATCAAAAAACTTAAATAAGGTACCCCATGTCCCAATCGCCAATGCAAGTACAATTTTAATAGCCCAAATATAATGTTATATGCTATTGAAATTAATGTTATAATAAAGGGGTACAAAAAGTGGAATAGCTCAATTGTTTTTCATAATTTATTAAGCATGTTACAACATTAATTTTATTTAGTCGTTTTATGAATTCAGTGTGTTTTGTGTGCGGCTAGCCACACCATGTGATCGGTTGTAAAATAACAAATGTAAAATCATAAAGTAATCCCGATAACATTGATCGAGTAAAACACCTGTAATACTGATCGATCAACTCCCTATAATACTGACAAAGTAATTCCTGTAACACTGATCAAGTAACCCCTATAACAGTAACGAAGTAATCCCTATGATGGCTGGCCGCACAGTGTGGCCAACCACATATGAAAGTTTGTGTTATCCTTTAGTAATCAATTTAATAAAAGTACAATACATAGTAAATATCTGATGAAGAGAATGGAGCCTAGTAGTAAAAAGAATAAAAAATTCATTGAAAATAAAAGTAACGCAAATAATTTACTATCTTAATATTGTAGAAATATTCTTTTATTTATAATCATTTAGAAATTTTAAATGATTACATAATGGCCAAAATAAATTTTGACAACTTCGTACTTCAAATTATTTTAGTATATACATTATTGGTTTTAATAAGAATATTATAATATATATGATTATATATTGTTGTCAAATAAGAGTATTATATTATATATGATTATATATTATTGTCATATATATATGATTGTAATTTAGTAAGGTAAATATCATTTCTTAAACCAAAAATATATTCCTAAGATTTTATAGGAAATAAAAAGATATCATATACATATACTATTGAAATTGCTTTATTTAGGATTGCGAAAAAAGCGCGAAAATTTTCAATGAGATAGGGACATGTGTCAAGTTTGCTTCTACTGCCCTCTTTTTTAGTATATATATAGATAGATAGATTTTCTTTAACCCTGTTTCGCCGTGAAATTCATCCAACATTTATGCATGTCCTTGGAGGAGATAGAATGATGTGGGTTTGAACTAAAGATTTAAGTTATAACCAGTTTTATAATGTATAATAAATTGAGAAAGAAAAAGAATTAAAAAAAAAAAGCCTCAAATATGTTTATATATACATAATGGGATTTGCTAGATTGAGAAATGAGAAAATGAGAAAGCTAATAATATCATAACATGTGTCATTGTCAAAATATGAGAAAGTTAAGAATAAAAAGAGGAGGGAATTCGAATTTTAGACCAAGATGATGTGTCAAGGAATTAGTGGTTTTCTCATTTTCTCATTTCTTATTCTAGTAATTCCTAAATATCACTAATAAATAAAGCCGGTCTCGCAGCCAGGCGACGAGACAGTGACATTTGACATTCCAATTTTTCGCCAAGTGTTGCGCCACGTAGGCAATAAATAGGTATTATTGTGACACGTATGATGCTAAGTAAGCGATTATTGGATAGATTTTTTAAGATAAAATTGTTGTATAGAGTTTTATTATTGATAGAATTCTAATATTTATGTATACAAAATTAATCATAACCTTTTATAAATATCCTATAACTCAATTCTATTTCCATCATCAAATTCGTTTTAAAAAGTTATTTGAAATAAGATCCATTTATATATATTTAATCACAAATTTTAATATGTAGCTGGTCAAACTGTGTCACCAACTATTATAAGAGTTACTTCGTTAGTGCTATAGGGTTACTTGGTCAGTGTCATATTGGTTACTCAATCAGTGTTATAGATAGGGGTTACTTAGTCACTGTTAGAGGTTACTCAGTTAGTATTACAAGGGTTACTCGGTTATATCTTCTTGATACTTGAAAATAAAATATACTTCCATGATTCATACATATTCAACTCGTATCATGCCTCAAATAACATATTCACATGCTTGCATAAAAATTCATGCTCAACCAACATCAATTCCAAGCATATAATCAACCAAACATGCTACTAATTCATCACTTACATCATACTTTACAATCCTAGCATGATACTACGCATACACAAATATTCTTGTGCACATACGTGCCTTGAAAAACGCCTAAACTCGACCACACTCACTAGAAATCACCTAGCTCAAAGCTTCTTACAAATAAGAATACATGACTATAATTAATCTACTATTCTCACAAATTTCCAGCAAATATAATACAATTTAAACCTTACTAATTAACCCAATTTAATGAGATAAAAGCCATAAAACCTTTTTTTTAAGTGGGTACCTCAAATCCTTTCAAAAAGACCTAATTTTAATGACTTAAAGAAAATTCCAGCATACTTATTTGATATAAAACATCACTAATAGACTAGGAAATCATATTTAAATTATCAAAACCTTTTTCCCTCTTATGGATAATTAAACCATAACTCAATAATTAAAAAGTAGTGTGCATAGATAAATTTCAACATTAATTTGAGGGATTTAAACTCATTAAAAACATGTTTAAACCACTAATCAAACAACAACAACAACCACCTAGGATCAAACCTAACCATAAACATTAAATTCCCAAATTCTAGGGTTTGTAAATTGGGGTTTTTGATTGAATAAAAATCTGAAAATTATATAAATAATTTAACAATATAAAATACCCAAAATCAATACCAAAACATAATCAAAATCATGTTTTAAATTAATAAAAAAAAATAAAATTAAATTAGGAAGAGAAAGATTTTATTATATTTTTTTAATAATAATACTAAACCGCAAAAACAAAAAGGAGAGAGAAGGAGGGGGTGGCTGGCGGTGCGTCGGCTGCTGCTGTTGGCCGTCGGTGGTCGCTGATGCCTGTTGGTGGCGCCGGTGGCTACCGGCGTGCGTGAGGGGGAAGAGGAGAAAGAGGCGTGGGAGAAGAAAGAAAAAGAAGAGAAAAAAAAGGGAGAGGAAAAATAAGGAGAAAAAGGAGAGAAAAAATAAAGAGAAAACTTTTGGGATTTTTGTGAAATATGACAATAATGATTTTAGAGTGAAAAATCTTGAGGTTTTGAAGTATTTATGCTCCCCTTTTGAAACAAAAACTCATAATTACAAAATTGCCATTACTAAATCCTACTCTCTTTGATTTCTTCCTTTAGGGCCAACTTGTTGGGCTCTTAAGTGTCCTTAATTTCCCAACATGTTGATCCAATCATTTAAATAAAGATGACCCAATTCAAAACACTATTATTACCTCAATTAATGACTCATATTATTTTATGCACAATTACATAATATTTAAATAATTAATTTCTTTTAAAATGAAATGAATCATTTTAATTTATAAAAATAAATAAAATAATTAATTTATATATATAATAATATTATAAAAACACGGAGTATTACAGAAATAGGCTATACACAAATAAGTGAAGTCAAGCTAGAGGCCATCAAACAAGTGTATTATTCCAATAGAGGGTTCAGAATCAATCATGGAGTTAATTATTCAGTGAAGTCAAGTGATCGGAAAGTCGGGCTAGTGGCCATCTCCGATCAGTGAGATTAATTGTATTAATCTCACAGCTTTCCTTTAACTGAACCCAACGGGTCACACCCAAGCGTGCAACCAAACTAAGGCGACGAATTAAGCCGAAGGCTTTAATACGTCAAACAAAAAGATACGTACTCCGACATCGGATTTCGAGCTTAAAGCGTCGAAGCCGAATGTCAAGTTAAATTCTAGGAATTAACGAGACGAACAAAAAAGTTAAACAACAATAATAAAGTCAAAGTGCATAGCCCTAGCCTCACAATGGCCTAGCTATGTGAGGGCTAGGTTAGCACATGCTGTCACAAAGCTAGCACTGGTCACAAGCCTAGCTTGGTGCGGGCACGCACTAGCTAGGGCTCTTGGCTGAGTGCATGCTGCTTGCTAGCAAGTGCGGGCAGCGCTAACACTAGCTAGTAAGACCAGCATCTACGTGTGTAGCGTGCTAGGCCTCGCTAGTAGCTGCTGCGGCTAGCAAGCACCAGTAGCCCACAAGGGCGTGCGGTAGCAACAGCAGCACCCGACAGTGAAGCTGCAGCCCGCGTGCTGCAATGGGCCTAGGCTGGCAAGCCCTGCCGAGAGCACAAGGTTGCCAGCATGGGCAAGCCTTGCTGCTTAAGGCAGCCACCAGCTGGCCGCTTCTCATTGGAGCCGGTTTTGGCTTGGGGAGCAAGGAGAGCCTTGTGGTCCTCACCTAACCCTCCCATGTTTGTGCCACTTGTTGTTTGATTATTTGTTATTTGCATTTTAATTTATTTTAAAATTAAATTAAATGCATTTATTTCTCAACTTTGCAAAGTCCCACATTGATTGGAAATCAAGGGGATGGAGATGCTTCTCCTATAAATACCCAAGGCCTCCTTTGGGAATTGTTGCAAGAGTTGAACTCTATACAAGACATCTCCATTGAGAAAACCTTATAAAGAGATTCTCTTGTTAGTAGTGTTAATATTACCCTAGCCGGTAATATTAGCCAAGTTTGGGCATGTGGGTGGAGCAAGTTGGAGGGGTTGCGTTTAGGCTCTTTCTCTGTTCGTGAGTTCGTGTTCGTGCTAAGCGGAAAACACGTATCAAGGGTATGATCGTCTTTTCCTCTTTCTCTCTCTCTCTATTATTATGTGTTTATTGTTTAATTAATTGTATGCATGTTTAGTTGCTTTAATTTATGCACGGATATTTGGGCGGGTTTTGTTTCTGCGTGGTGTTGGACACCGCAAAACCCAACAAAAACAAACACGATACTTCCTTTGCGTGATTTGAATA